AGAGTGTCCACACACAGATCCCCATATTCTACCTACAACAAGACTCTTGCCACTACTTTCTTAGCTGGGCACAGCTACACAAACAGATCCCTGACTTATTCAGATCAAGAACTCTAGAGGAGCAGGGGTATCTCCTGTTTCTGACATACACAGCATCCAGCACAGTGAAGCCCTGCCTGTCTACCTGCTAATTTAATGCAATGGGACATTTCTGTTAAACCTGTGAGTAGCAATCCTATAGAGAGTCATCTAGGTCTGATCTGCAGAACAGATTTTGTTCTATCTTACCTGACTTAATAATCTGCAACTGTACAATTTTTAATTGTGAAACAAAGGGAATACATTTAAATCTGATTTGTCCGTATTTTTAAAAAAATAATTATTATTTACTCTAAGGAAAGAGCCACAGATACTTTCCTGTATGATCTGGGGAACCTAACCCGTTCAAGCTTTGCTTCTGTGGGATTTTTATTTTGCCACCAGAAACCTCAGAGTAGCTGTAATTTCAGTCTGGGAATTCACAATTATTGAGTGTGTGAACGTGCGTGTGTGAGTACCGGGAAGATCCCTACCAGCTGAAACACGTACTCTGCTGCAACAGTTTCATTTAAAAGTAATCATTTCATTATCCAATTTGTTCTGAGCGTCATGCATTAAAATACTACACCTTCAAGTAGACTGACAATATATATTTAACTTTCATTAAAAATTAAAGAATTTTCAGACAGTCTTTGCAATATTTAATTACAGTTTGATGATTTGAAAGTTACTTGAGAATCTTCTATATAATTCACTGTCGTAAAATATAAATGATATATCCAACATTTGGGCGAGTTTCTGTCATGTGTTGCACTTCACTTCCTATTAAGCATTCAGTAACCAAAGTGATCACAACTCTGAAATAACTTCACTTTTTTAAAAAGAGAAAGAATTCAAAAAAGAGGGAGAATTTAGACCCCGATCTCGGGAAAAAAAAATTCAGAGCAGCACAAGCCACAGTTTTGATGTGACAATGCCCTGTTTTTCATGAGCAATTACAGTCATGCCCAAAGAAATTATATTCGTGAAATTAATACTTAAAGCAAACATGTTTGTGTCTAAAACAGCCTTTTGCTCCCTGTGTTCTAAGTTCAGAGAGCTTTGTTCTAAACCCTTGCTTCTCGGCTCCACTGCACTTTCCCCAAAATGTGTAATTTGCACTAACTTTGTTTTTGTAAGACTTCCTGAAATCAGATTTTTTTTCTTCTTCTTCTTCATTGTGAATGTCCTTTAAAGCTACATGGTAGGTTTGACAAATAAACTGTATCTCGGGGTGGTTTTTTCCCCTTTCTCTCCGAAGACCCTCTGATGACTTTGTAATAATGAGAGACCAAGAGGTCAAACAGTGCCTTAGGATGAACTCTTCATATGCAAGATGCCTTTGTTAAGAAAATTATTTTGAATCCGCTGCTCTACCCGAGTTCGGAGCTCTGTTTTCAACAGGATTATGAACAGAGGCTTTTGCATTTCTGTAATGATAGGAAAGCTATTTAAAGATAATATTTATTGACAGTTTCTCTCATATGGTCTACAGGGAAATGCAGAAGCTCCAAAAGGACTAGAAAGAGCTCAGATCTCAGGACGGGTTTGTTACTTTTAACACAAAGTAACCAATTTGTGCCTGAAAATAAGGAATGACAGCAAATGCTTTCCAAGATTTGTTAAGAAGAAGGGCATGTTGCTGCTACAAGGAATGGGCTCTGTTTGTAGCACAGTTTAACAGAGTTTAGACTCTCAGTGGATTCTCTAGTAAAATTTGTCCGAGTTCCTTTTCTTTTTTTTTCTTTTTCTGTTGGAAGACAGTCTTCAATAGCAGGAAAAGATGTTTTGGGACCATCAAAGAGAGTTTTCTAAAACAAACTCGGCCCATGGAGCTTTATGTTTTGCTGTAAAAAAGAAACCTAAACACAAGCCAAGAGGTTTTTT